TGTTATAGGTAAAATTTAAAGAAGAAAGAAACTATTGCATAGTTGAAAATGAGATGAACAAGTATTAAAGACCTACTCATCATCAATGGCTCAAGGAAATTACTCGCTTCACTCAAGACTTAACATCATTCTTGACTTGTCTCTATATCCTTTCCATTCCTTTCATAACAGCACACCTTTGGTATAACACAATTGTGAGATTTTGGTGAAATATTCGAAGAAAAAGATGAAGCTACTTTTGTAATAATCATATCTTTAGGTGATCGTGCCTGTACTAGCTTTCATATTTCACAGTCAGAATTACATTTTACATAAATAATGAATGTCTTTGGATTCATTACATTGCCAATTATCTGCAACATATTAATTTAATGTCTTGAAATTGAGAAATGGTATACAGGCAGGAATTCGTGATTTGACCCCTATGCACTATTCCCCGCATTTCATTGAGAGCGACTGTTGACAAATTGCACACAGACTATGTCCTACACTAATCATACTACTACTTAGCATCTGCCAACAATGGCTCATGATTATACTTTAACACTAGTGCATAAGGGTAAGCAAATCAAATTAATATTCAAAAAGACCTATTTTACCAGTATATTTGATTATTATATTAAGGTAAAGATTTTCATTTGCTCAATTTTCCTGCACAATTTCATGTGAATACCCAACATGGATTAATCTTTGGGAAGCCCAGATGTTGTGCACTGTATTTTTACTTCTCTTGCAGAAACATTCTTGTCAATTCCATTTCTTGTCAGCAACTAAATCTCACACTTAGCATTCACTGGAATTTGTAAGTTTCTGCCATCACTACTAGAGATACTATCCATTAAGTTAAAACTGTAAATTCCATATGCTTGGAATGGCATATCATTTTTCTGCAAAAAGCACTGCATCTGGGAGGCCCGAAGACAGAACCCTGAAACTGCACTGGGACGAGCAAAACACTAATGAATCTCCTTAATGTATGGTGGTGAGTAGAACGATAGTCTCATACTTGGCACTTTGGGGGGAGACAGCGTAAGACGCCACCAAATAATTCAGACTAACACTTTCTACCTCATCCAAATAAATGTCAACTTCCAAAACTAACTTCATCTTTCCACAATTCAAATTTCAGTTGCTAATTTGCAACTGTCTTTAAGTACTAATAAGAAAGTATACCTTTTAATAGCCGTCAACAATAGCCTTTAACAATCCCTTCATTCTCCATAAACCTGTCCAATTCAAGCTATTCTGCATATACCCTAGACCAATAATTTTATATAAGGGTAACAAATTGCCTTATATGAGTAGATCTTTCAGGAGAAACCAATACTATGGGTGAAATAAGAAGCTACAATTACTACATTACTGATATGTCCAAACTGCACATACCTATCTACTGATGCCATACAAGAAAAGTAACTGTGGGAAAACAACATAAATACATTTAATTTATTGAAATCTAAATAGATATATTAACCTTAAAAAAGATTTTTTTTTTCCTATATAGCATATGACTGAAGCACATTGGGACACTAAGCTTATGATGGGGGGCATTACCATTTGCAGGTTGTGGCTGTAAAGACTAAAGATAAAGGGTTTCAAAAAATCTACACATGAAGTTCAAAGAATCCTTATTTTAAGGTACACAGACACATTAAATATTCTATATTCCATACATAAATAACTATTTGACTGGAATGACTTAGGTTGGCAACCAGGTCGACATCCATTCATTGTCCAAAGTCGTTCACAGTGGAAGACCAGCAGCAGAGCAGTCTTACAGCCATTCACTTTCTTGACCTTTTGCCTTTGATGTTTTGTGTTAGTTCTGAATATTGTTTTGATGTATCATATGGATACACATATGCAGGTACAATGCCTGCACAAGCACAATTCATCAGGTATTGTTTCTAATGTCTTTCACAGGTACATAAGGCAAGGTAACAACAACAATATGAGCACCTTCCTCTGGTAGTGGTAAGAAAGTCCAAATCGCAGGTAATCTAAGCACCAACAAGATGCTGCACTCGTTTCCATGAAGTAATGAAGACTTGGCAAACACAGTCTGGAGATGTTTTCCTAATCTCTTGAACATATATAAATAAATACTGTTCACATGTATAGTTTCCACTGATATACATTCATATATGCAAATATATATAATATGTAAACATATATATGTATAAATTGTGTATGATAAATATATATGTAAATATATAAATATATATATATGAATATATATTTAACACGCACACACACAAAACATGCACACACACAAACACACACACACACACACACACACACACACACACACACACACACACACACACACACACACACACACACACCACTCGCACACACACACTCGCACACACACACACACACACACACTCGCACACACACACACACACTCACACACACATACACAGATATATATAATTTATGTATCCACTCAGACTTTTCTTTGAAAAGGTTTTCTTCTCATTATGATTATAGCTGATGATTCAAGTGGGTTTGGGGAAATCAACATGTGTGATGAGATCATCCAGTCTGACTGATGCCAAACTTCACTGGAAGGTGGGTTTCATGCTCCAAGGTTGTGTTAAGCTTGGATCATACGGTTGTCTCCAAATCCTCATGCACCATTGTCTGAAACTGCTCCTGGCCTGCAAGAGAATGATTATCAAGTTAGAAGCCTCTTCGAGGAAGTGATTTTATAGTCTTTGACATTAATAAGACACTATCTTATACTTGAAGCAGGAACAAAAGCAGCACATGAATGTACAATTGCAATGATGAATGCATGTGGCATAATTCAAAAAAAAAATTAAAGAATGCATATCATGACATAAGCAGTAAAGCCCATTTCTATAACTGAAAGCAATATCTTTTTCACACATTATAAAGTATATTCTAATATTGAACAGTTTCTAACTAAGAAAAAAGTCATGCATGGGAATAAATGAGTCTTCCAAATAAATGTAAAGCTTGTTGTTTGTATCTTTACTGAAATCCATGCTTGGATAAAGGTTAAGAAGAAGGTGAACTCTGTCGTTTTCAAGTTCTGAGATGATAATCCTGATTTGAACATCTCTATGGGATTTAAATGGATGTAAAAAAACTCTAAATCTACTAAAATCTCTACTATGTAGGGTGATTTCAAGTGGTATGGGTGTAAGAAATACCAAAGTCTATAGGAAATCAAGAATCGGGTATATGTCTAAAATGCTTCAAGGGAAAAAGGGCAACTTTAGTGTTGTTCATACGTACAGAACAGAGCCAGAGCAGAATCCTTGGCATAGAGCGTGCAAGAAACAGCGAGGTGATGTGTAATCCACTCTGTTGACACACTACCTACACAATACACTCTATGTTTTGGACAGGCCTTTCAATCTAAGGCAAATTAATTAACTACAAATGTTAAAGATTTTTTGGCTGCAGAAGCTCTGATGAGTCTCAATGATTCCCATCCAAAACACTGTCTTACAAGAATAATAAAGTCTGTACCATGACAAGTTAATTTTAATTATCAATATTACATATAGTAAATATGTCCATAAAATATATAAAGGTAAATGTAAATATCTGCCTAGTTCAATACGTTATTACCTATGGATTCTGAATCATCTACCGTACTCTAAAATGACAACTGCGTAACTTCAAAAATGACGTTATCACTCTCTCAAGTCACCTGTCATGGCACAGTGATCCATCATTATGTAGCCTTTTATATCTAGGAGGCTACTTTGATAGGATAAAAATTGTAGTTTTTCATCATTGGCAGGTACAAGAAAGTCCGTTACTAATGCCACAATGACTATAGAATTACAAACATATTAATATGTACTTTTTATAAACAATTTTAAAAATTGGGTGGATGTGCATATAAAACTTTTTACTTAATACTACAGTAAATACTGCTAAAATTAAGTAGCTTACGTGTGAACTAAATTGGCAAAGAAGCAGTGCAACTTGTGATTCATCGACAATATACCTAAGATTTGTATCTACAATCTTCCATATACAACAACCTGGGACCTGATAAAACAGGTGCCACCCACCGTTACTATTTATCTTTTATTATTATCTTTTTTTTTGTGTTGGTAGATTAGTCAACGTAATTGAGTTTATTATTGTTGGGTTGAGAGAATTTCTCTTGGCCTGAAAAAACAATAAAACAATGGAATCCACAGGAAATATATGAAAAAAATATTAAGAATACATAATGATATATCCTTTTTCATGTGTCTAATAAATAAAGCATGTCTTAGGCTACTATCTACAATCTCTTTCAGAATAAAAAAGGTAAAGGTTTTAAATACACAAATAATATTGAGAAGTATTCTTCCCTTGCGTCATCACCTATATATTTCCTATTGCATAACACCCAAAATCTATAATAATTATTACACATCTAACAAAATGGATAAAATTCAAGAATCTGAAAGAGCCTTGTCATATGAAGGCTCATCACCCTGGTATTTGTCAAGAGTATTATTTAATTCATAATCTTATGTTAGTTGCATTTATCAAAAGGCTAAGTTGGCATTCCAAGAGTGCGCAGGCAGGGTTATGAAACAAGCATGCACATCTGTTTCCATGGGTTGTTAACTGAACCTGCAATAGGGAAGTACCTAAATGATCCAAAATTTTTTTTTGCTTTCTTGTCATAATTTTTTTTTTTCCATATTCTGAGGTCTGACTATGGTTTCCATAAGTAACAGAAGCTTAAGGGAAGGGAGGGGGGCACTTATGGAAGACAACACTTAATGTTTGCCTACAAACAGTGTCATAAACTTAGAAAGGCCTCTTGTCCTTAACAAAATGTATCCATAACTCGTGGGGCTGAGGTTACCCTCTTCACGAGGACGGTGCACACAACTCTGTGAGCAGCATGAGCTTTCTTTTATACAACTAAATGGCATCCCAGCCTTGATAAAAAAGCTCACCATATATTTCTGAGGTCAAAAAGAAATACCTCACGCATTACAACAAAACAACTGTGTACTATATGAGCCTCTCTACTCGAAGTCTTTTAGCGAGTGCGTGGTGACGTGCACCCCTGAGTGAGTGGGAATAGGATGCGTGACATGGAAGGGATGACCGATCCTCTTCCTCAGGCATGGATGCTCCGAGACCCATGAGCTGGCACTTACTCTCCAGATATGCAGCCAGTTCTTGGTCATCAGCTCGCTGGGCCAGAGCACGAGGTGTGTTGCCCTGGAGGTCCCGGATAGTTAGGGAAGCCCCAGCAGCAACGAGCATGCAACATACTGTCCGTCTCCTGTTGGAGGCTGCCTGGTGCAGTGCTGTCTGGCCTCTGAAATGTTCACCCTCGGTTTACTTAACTATTTACTAATAACTTTAATAAGATGCAATCATGCATACGTCCTACAAAAAATGTCTTGGTAAGTTATAAATATCTGCATGCTTCATCAAAATCATCTCCATTTAGGCCCAACAGTCAATGACTTAGAATCAAACCTAAATCTATTTATAACTTGAATAAAATTGTGATAAACAAACATACTTTTCTGTGTCCACCATATCAAGGATAGAAGGCGGGGCTGATGCAATCAAATAGCGCACAATGTCTTTGTGTCCATGACGAGCGCCAAAGTGAAGTGCTGTCTGGCCATGTGCATCAATTGATAGCAGTGAGAAACCTTGCGAATGAAGATCCTTCAACTGAAATACAAAGAAGAAGTTTAGCAACTATAAATTAATCTGATATACATATTTCAGCACCAGCTCTTTATCGGGCATCCTTATTTAGCATTGATGTGCTGTTATACAAATCATAAAGCATTCTAAGTATATGATTGTCTTTGGCAAACAGGTTGGCAATCACAAGAATCATTACAATATAACTGACTGGTGATGTAAAAGCTGAAATAAATATCATCTCATCAAATCAGTGATATTAATTATGGATCATCTATTAAAAGACTGAACTACACACCATCTTCAGGTCTCCTTGCTTGGCTGCCTTTATGATTCCATCAGAGTTCTTCTCAAGCAGGTGGCTGAGGAAGAAGGATGAGTGGGTTAGGATTATGTACCTTATGTGAAAGGTTACTGGTATTTGCACCAAATAAAAATTGTAATTTGATTTACAGTCTCATGATTCAAGACCTGGCAAATTTGAAAAAAGCACTATGATCTGCACTTGAAAATATTATCTATCCACAGGAAATATTTCTTGTAGAGTAGTGTGATACCAGAAAAAGCACTAGGAAGAGTCTTTTGGGTGCGGTGAGTAAGCTAATGAATTAGTGGGAATTAGAATCAGCTAAAAATAATGACATGGCATATGAACACCTTATTAGACTCACTAGCTTCAAATTAGTAACAAATGAATTTATGAGATTGATTCTTATCTGAAAATTGTGTCAGATAAGATTCACTGGTGCATACACAAGTACACACAGGCCCATAGGCAAGCAAGTGCAAACACACACACAACACAGACAACACACACGCACACACACGCCGCACACACACACACATTCTTGTAAAGACACAGATATATAACTAACCTCACACATATGCATGCATGAATAAACATAGACAGGTAGAGAAACAAACAAAGAGCCAGACATGCCAATGTGAATGTACGCACACACACACACACTCATCCTTATGTGCACACGCATATGCACAAGCAGGCACGCGTGCGCACACAAACACAAACACACACACACTTATATTCAATATAACCCGACATATAATTTATTCTTATGTACACAGAAACATATACGTATCCATTTTTACACATGCATAAATTGAAACATATTAAGCATTAGCAAAACAGACAGCTGTATGCACACATGCACACAATGGCAAATAAAATCACAATGTACATATATAGTCCAAATATTATACTTTATTTAAAGTGGCTCTGAAATTATTCATAGGGGATGATATGTTTACTCAATAAATCCAACCATTTTAGTTTTAAGTATCGTTCTCTCATCTCGTTCTTTCTTCTCCGCTTTGTTTATGCATGTTTCACATAAGATGTAGAATCTAATTAGTCGATAGTACCATGCGCAGGATATGGGGAGGAATATCTACAAGAAAGACGAGGAAGATGGAAGTAAGTGAGGAGCAGGTAATATGACTTGAGCTGCGAATGAGGAGAACACACAAATCACACGGAACGAGAACACAGAGCGCGAACAGCGCGCAAAAGAGTAAGAGAAAGGGAGTGAAAGAAGTATGAGAGGGCGGTAAGCGTGTGGACACGCTATATTTGGATATATTCTAAACGTTGGTAGTACAAGTATCAAAAAACACTAATAAGCAAAATGCCGTAAGAACGAGAGGAGAGTAAAGAGCAAGTAGAAAAACATGGTACTAAACCTAGAGGAGAACAAAAGGGAAAAAGGGAGGGGAGAAAGAGGCAGGAACGCCTGTAGTAACCGGGTGACACAGGCAATAGGGCACACGTGAGAGCACATACTCAGGGCAATAAAAACAAAAGTGGTACACGGGATAGGCACAAGCGGAAAATAGGACAATGTGTATGAACTTAGTATTTACAAAACATGAGGCATACAGGCAATAAGACGCTCTATATAACGTGACCAGACAACGCTACAGCATTAAAGAAAGGAAATTTCGCTAAGCGGCGACTTAAGATGAGGGCTGATAGAAAAAGCACATGAAAGGCAGGATGTAACGAAGATTAGAAGGCATGAGCACACGAAGAGCGGAGGAGATATAGTAACATACGGACCCAGAGAAACCAAAGAACAAAAAAAAACACTAGTAGGGAGAATGAAAGAATGGAGAAGAAGAAGCAAAAATTATGTGGAGGAAGTAAGAAGAAAAGAGTGACAAGGAGACACATAATAGGTACAAGAGTAAGGTAATTAGAATGGAAAGTGATCCAAAAGAAGAAAGGGCATGAAAGAAAAAAGGTAATGGGAAGAAGAAAAAGACAAGGAAAAAAGTGAGAGAGAAGAGAGATACAAGAGAAAGAAAAGCAAAAGTATGAGAAAGGAACTAGAAAGAGAATAAAAAGAAATGGATATGACAAAGATAGGAACAGAAGGAAGAAAAGGTGGAAAATAAGAAGGAGGAGGATAGAAAGAAGGGGGGAAAAATGACGAAGAATAAGGAATAAGAGAAAAGAAAGAAGACGAAGAACGACGGAGAGCACTAGGCGAATCACCCGGCGAAATGAAACACACTGGACCAGGAGGAGAGGGAAATGAATAGGCCATGGGAGGAGAGGGAATAGAATTGCTGGCCAGAAGGAAACGCTCGCAGATGAGGAGCAGGCTGTGTTCATTGAATCAACCATGGTTCATTTACTGTCTAGATTCGAAGCGCTCCACAGAATTCTAAAAAGTGTGAAGGAAGATGTCAAAAATGGAACTTCTAGAATCTAAAACTTAAGGACGACCTATGATGCCACTCTATTGAGATTATTTCATTATAAAACATTCATATTTATTAGCGAGAATACTCTGTACATAGGACATCAATCATCGCATATATATAATGACTAAATATTGAAAATAAAGAATCCACCACTTCAAATTAAGTCAAGGGATAGTTTATGGAGATTTTTTTATTAAAATATACTTTTTCATTTTTCAAAATGCCTGGGTAGCGCCGAAGACTGTTGGAGCTACACCAGCATCAATGCTTGATAAAAGCTGGGAACGGCCTATTGCGCTATGTTATACTTCATGGCAATGCAAACGCGTTAGTAATTAATAACAGGTACCTGCTTCTGTATGTCTTCACTCCGACATTGCTGCGATAAAATAAACGTCGAAGCCGATTCAAGAAGCTAAAATTATCACATAATGTGCACCGATAGTAAAATTGCAGTCCACTTCTGTACGTTTGTGGAATCAACAGGCATACCCGTCATAAATTTTTCACAGTTAAAGGGAGTGAAGGTTGGGATCTCTTGTGAGACAGGAAATTGTTAATGCAAAGGGTGACATACACGGGGCATGTGCCGTATAATAGAATGATTATAAGAAAGTATAAAAAAGAAGCAAAATAAACCAGCAGAAGGCAAAATAGATAAAACACAATAAGTTATCAACATATACCCGCGCTAATGAGGTCCGAAAAAATAATGCCACGGGGAAAGAGTCCGGTCTGCGCGCCTTAGGGAAGCAGTCGTTGAGTTATTAATGGTGAGAGGCATGGAGGTGACACAGCGTCGGCAATAGAGGGAGGAGCAGTGGAGGATAGGAAGAGAGGAGGATGGGAACCCGCGCGTAACAGGCAGAGACGGAGATGGTAGCTGGGCGGAGGGTTCTGATTAGACAGAGGACAGGTTTAGTGTATGGTGAAAGGAGGAGGAGGGGGGGTGAGGAGCGCCAGGTTCGGTCAGACACGGCAATGGGAACCAACACCAAAAGGCAAGCAACGCAGGCAAGCAGTACATACAGCCAGCAGGACGCAGGGACTCGCACAGACGTCGGGCGCGAAGGCATGATAAATGCTATTCTACAAATAATACAGGGCCACGTGGAAGGGAGCTGAGCGCGACTCGGGATTCGCAGGTACAGAAAACTACACAGGCTAAGTTCATAAGGAATTGTGAAGCTAAAGTGGTAAGATGTTATTTTTCCTATTGTTTTTGCAAATGACTCGAGTTTGACTGAGTTAGCGAATATAGAGTAATAAAGGAGGAACACAGTGACAGAGCTGTCAGTATAAGATAGAATGGAGTAAAGAAAGGTCACAGGACGCTATTGTAGCAGAAAGGTAGAATAAGCGGAGGAGAAGTTAAAGATCCAACATAATGAAAACGCTAACAAGCCGAGCCCACTTGTATTAATCATCGCTATGCACCTTACGCTCACGGCTGAATCTGAGGGAGCAAGAGAGGGATCCGGAGCAGATGAGTGTGAACCGAGTCTGGTGCCAAGGGATACCAGTAGCGCCGGGCCGAAGAGTCAGCGCGGTTACCTACTTATCACTGGTGACGTGGACCCCTGGCTATCTCATCGAAGTGTCGAGGATCGGT